GATAATGAAAAATATTCTTAAGCCCACTCCCTCCTTCTTCCCAGGTCACTTCACCCAGAGTGGAGCTCATGTTGAAGGGTGAGAAGAAATTCCTGAGCCATATTGTGCAAACCTACTCTCTTGATACTGGAGATGCCCATAACTTTATATAAAGAATATTTTGAAGTGCTTCAGTGCATTAACAGGGGGATTCAATCAAGACTGCATGAGGTACTAATACCACTCTATAAAGTCTTATTAAGACCATCCCTAGAATACTACCTCCAGTTTTGGTCACTACACTGTAAAAAAGATGTTGAGACTTTCGAAAGAGTGCACAGAAGAGCAACCAAGATGATTAAGGGACTGGAAGCTAAAACATAGGAACTGGGCCTGGCTAGTCTAGTGAAGAGAAGGACCAGGGGAGACAGGATTGCAGTCCTCCAATATTTGAGGGGCTGCCACAGAGAGGAAGAAGGGGTCAACCTATTTTCCAAAGCATCTGAAGGCCAGACAAGGAATAATGGATGGAAACTGAACAAGAAGAGATTCAATCTAGAAAATGCCCCAAATTTGGGTTTATACTCTTTGGTTCCCAGGAAACAACAGTCGTTGTTCCCAGGAAACAACAACAGAATTAAAGTTTCCTTTGAAAGTCTTGGTGATTTTATAGGCTCTCCAACAAGGTTTTCAAAAGAACAATACTAAACTGGTTGGCCATTGCTTTTTTCCTGAATTTTTTTTTAAAAATTGTCTAGTCAAGCCCTGGGATGTTTTGGTGATTGCCCATTCTGTCCCAACTGGGTTTAACTCTATACAGGTTTCTGATTTGATTTGTTTTCTTAGATAGTACGAGCTAGATCAGGGGTATCAAGCTTGATTTCATTGAGGGTCACATCAGGCTTGTGTTTGACCTTGGAGGGATGGGGAAGGGGCTGTGACCAGGATGGGCATGCCCAACTCGACATCACTCGTGTTTGGAGCACCTGTGGTGGCCCCAGCACTCAACTAGTGAAAACGGGCTCCCGAGCTCAGTTTCCAGTTGCAATGGCCTCTTGTGGTTAGCCGGAAGCAGGTGCAGACAGCTGAGGAGAGCGAGGACTCAGATGAGGGGCCAGGACCATTAGGGAGTGGACTGCTGCCTTCAGAGATTGTGGGGGCTGGCAGCAGCGATGAGGAAGTTCCCGAGGAGCCTGTGCCCAGTGCGCATGTGCACAGGGCTGCTCTCAGGAAAGAGCAGCTGCAACAGCACGGGTGACTCAGGAGTAAGGCAGCAAGGTAATGGCCCCTCCTTCCAGAAGATAAAAGCCAGCTGTGAATTGGACTTTCTTTGCAGGAAGCAAAGACGTTTTGAAGCTCCAGCCTTATGGACACAGCCGTATCTTAGTTGGTATTTGAAGACTCTTGTGTTGTAAAATATTTCTAGGTAACCTTATCTGTTATTCTTGGCAGCCTCGCACAGTTTTGGCAAGGCTTGTGCTTATCAAAGTTAATTAGTTTGCAGCAGCCTTTTAACGAGGGATTTGTAAGAATCATTAAAAGGTTTGTTTTCCCTTTGTTTCGTGTTTGTTTTATTGGAAAAGAAGAAGGTTTGTGTCAAAACAGCCTCCTGCAACCATCTGCCAGCAAAAACGGAGCTTGGGGAGGCTGCATGCACCGTCCCAAGCTCCATTTTTGCTGGCAGAGGCACCACAGGCTCGTCCTTCATTGTTTCCAGGGCGGCCCCGCAGGGCAGATCTAAGCACCTCTGAGCCTTGAATTTGACATCCCAGAGGTAGATGGACTCCACTCAAAACTGAGTGTTCAGTTCTACAGAATGCTTATGTTCCATCTTTGTTCAACCTTGCAAACTCTTCCCAGACCTGGTCAAGGCTGTTTTTGCACAACTTAAAATATCTTTACAGAAACAGACTCCACTGTGAGCTTCGTATAATTCTAGGCACTTGGATGACAAAAAAAAAAAGGAAACACAATAGGAGCAACAGAACTAGGTCAAAGCTTCTCTTATTGTCATCTGCAACAGCGACGGTAGCCAGGAAAGTTTCATGAAACTGCTAACGGACACACAACAAGCCAGGCAGCAGCATCCATCTCTGTATTTGAGAAAGTACCTTGATAACAAAATCTAAAAATATCAGTTGATACGGTTTTCTTAATTATGAAATGTCTTCAAAATAAAGAAAATGATTGCTCTGAATGTATTTATTTCGGAACACAATCATTACAGTGTTGTAATGGGATATGAGACAAGAGTCTCTTTTTAAATCTGAAGAGAAGGACTGAGTGGTCAAAAATGGCAGGTAGATACAGATATAGATTAAGAGTTGGAAGGGACCTTGTAGGTCATCTAGTCCAACCCCCTGCCCAAGCGACCCTACACTATTTTTGACAGATGGCAGTCCAATCTCTTCTTGAAAGCCTCCAGTGATGAAGCTCCCACAATCTCTGAAGGCAACTTCTGTTCCATTGGTTGATTGTTGTCGCTGTCAGAAAATTTCCTCTTATTTCTAGGTTGAATCTCTCCTTGATCAGTTTCCATCCATTATTCCTTGTCTGGCCTACAGGTGCCTTGCAAATAGCTTGACCCCCTCCTCTCTGAACCAACCCCTCAAGTATTATAAGACCGCTATCATCTCCCCCCTGGTCCTCCTCTTTACTAGACTAGCCAGGCCCAGTTCCTGCAACCATTCATTGTATGTTTTAGCTTCCAGTCCCCTAATCATCCTGGTTGATCTTCTCTGTACTTTTTCTAGAGTCTCGACATCTTTTTTACAGTGTGGTGACTAAAACTGGATGCAGCATTCTAGGTTGGTCTTACTAAGGCTTTATAGAGTAGTATTTGTACCTCACTTAATCTTGATTATATCCCTCTGTTAATGCATTTTAGGATTGCATTGGCTTTTTTGACTGTCGATGCACACTCCTGGTTCATATTTCATTGGTTGTCCGCTAAGACTCCAGGATCCCTCTCACAGTTACTGCTATGCGATGGATAGGTGATGGATGGAGGAGTAAATTCCAACCTCAACTTTTTTGCATGTGCATTGACATCATACAAATGAGGCATTGTCTTGCATTGTGATGTTCTCTTCCTTTTTTACTAACCCCCACGCACCCACTGGTAAATACTGCTGTAGAGCATATTCCCTTTTCTTAAGTTAAATAGAAAAGACGACAACAAGACAAAGAAAAACCACACCAAACAATGTAAAAAAAAGAAAAACTCAACAACTAAAACTCAGAAGCCTATCTACGCCTCTAAAGTTGCGCGGCAAACATTTCCATGAAAAGAAGAATAAATGTTTTGGTCCGTACTGATCCCGTTGCTTCGTGCTCTCTTGCAAAGTTGTTTCATTCTAGAGTGGCTCTTTTCATTTCAACAGCCACGACCTGAGACAGACATGTTATTTGGAAGCCTTCCAAGCAAATTTAATTAATTTGATCGGGGAGTAAATCATGGTTTTCTGTGTAAACTGCAGGGACATTTAAGTCACGCCTGAGAAAAATGAGATCATTATTAAAACTGAGTTCACCGTATTTCAATGCGCATATCCTTTAGCTAGACCTTGAAGTTAGAAGTGCAACCAAACAGGAACTCCACCCCAGCCGTATGAATTGTAGAGCTGAGTTGCTAGCTTCTGACCATCTGCCCATTCTTCCTGTTATGATAGCACTCATGAATTTCAGTGTGATATTTCATGCTTCACAATTTAACTCTTTCCATGGACAAATTGGCATTTTTCCTTGGATGCTATTATTGCACATCCTCCTAAATTTGTTTGCTGACTTAAATTAGCCAACAGGTTAGGTAGACAAATTAGTCTATTAAGTCTAATCCATAACAGCTTCCCATGCCTTCAGATACAATTTGATCATAATCCATTGCTGCAATTAAAAAAAAAAGAAATATCTTTTTCCTAGGTTTGTAAGCCACTTTCCCAAACTTAGGTATTTTGTATACAATTTTGTAATTCTGAAAGGCAGCATTCATTAAAAGCGTGCAGTCCCAAGAGATATAAGTATGGGAGTATGTGTATGTTTTGTATATATATGCCTGTCTGTCTGTTTTCATGTGTGTGTGTATGTATGTATGTATGTATGTATGTATATATATATATATATATATATATATATATATATATATATATATATTGTGTATATAATTAATTTTTAAATGCATTAAAAGTAACAAAAGAAAAAGAAAACAAGAGAAGAGAAAAAGAAAAAACAAGCATGCAGAAATGAAAGATTAAAAAAGAAATAGAAGTTTCCAATTTCCTTTGCATCAAATGCAAGCATGTTTGTAAAATTGTTATTCTGTGATTACAGAAAAGCTTCCTTCTTTCCTATCATCTATTTTTTTTTAATCATGGGAACCACAAATCATAAGTGCATTGTTTTCTGTTTCAGTCAAAAGTCTCTAAGAGATTTCTAGTCAGCCGTAGATGTACATACGGGTATTTTCTCTAATCAAAGAAGTTAATTTAGCCATCACTTCAAGTTCCATCATCTTCATTTGCCATTCCCCCATGCTGGGCTGTATTAAATCTTTCTACTTTTGAGCATATAATAATCTCACTGCAGATATCTAAAACAAAATTCCATGACTTTTTCTAGATCCTCTCCATTAATCCCAAAGGCAAAAAAGCCTCTGGCTTCAATTTTGCTTTAGTTTATAAACGAAGAATTGCTATATTTTAATCCATGCATTAGTCGAGGGCCTGTTTCTCAGCCTTTGGTAAATTTAAGATGCAGGACTTCAACTCCCAGAATTCCTCAGCCAGCATAACTGGCTGGGGAATTCTGGGAGTTGAAATCCATGCATCTTAAATTTGCCAAAATTGAGAAACACTGATCTAGATTGCTGGTTAAAACAGTAAAAATACAGCTCAAAATAAATTGTACCATACTGTTATGTATTTTCCCATTATTTGTAGTCTATGAAATTTTGTGTATTCAATTACTGATTAATGTATATATAAATATATTTGCATTTTTACAGGTTGGTCTAGTTCTTCAAATCCACCATCTCTTAGTATTCAAAAACATATGATTACGATAGCTGCAAATGATACACTGCAGATAACTTGCAGGTAAGGAAGGAGGGTGATTATTGGTATCTAATGTATTGTCTTAATTTCTTCCCATGATGCATGACTATCTTGGGGATATGAATAACCCCCCATACACAAAATAGTTACAAATGTACAATAGAACAAAGAATACAAATAAAGGATTTTATTATGCTCCAAATATTTCCAGATGTTTCTTGGCTCAAGCGTTTACAGCTTTAACATTCAAAAGGACAAAAATCTTGTCTGAATTTTTTTATAAATTTACAAGGATGAGAAATTCTATTTACGTTGACTTTGTTGATACTTTTAAAGAGGAAATGTCATTTATTTTATCATTCCCCATTGGCCCTTGTTACGTGTCACCAATGGAGGTCTATGGAGATTCTCAATCATCCTAGTCATGGCTGTCCCAATGATGCTTTTTCAGGAGGCAACTGGACTTTCTGACTTTTCTCTGAAGGTGTTTCATTTCTCATCTAAGAAGCTTCTTCAGCTCTGACTGGATAGTGAGGAATGGAAGGATTTATACTCCTTGCAGACAGCTGGTCATTTGCATCCTTTTTAGAGAGTCACTGAGACCACATGGAGGTTTATCTGTGTCATTGCAATCATCAGAGTAGTGCAAATGGGTGTGGATCCTTCTTGGATTTGTAGAAAGGATTATGTTGTAGACTGGAGACAGATGTCCATCAAGACAAGATTCAGCTGTCCACCTGCATTTAAAAGATAAACGCCACTCTTTTGAAGATAGCAAAGTCCACATTTTGGACAGGGAGGACCTCTGGTTTGAAAAAGGGATCAAAGAAGCCATCTGTATCAAAATGGAACAGGCCTCTCTGAACAAAGTTGGAAGGATATGACATCATCTATCTCCGGTCTACAACACAGTCCTTTCCATAGTTCCAAGAAGGCTCCATATCAATTTGCACTATTCAGGTGACCTTGATGATACAAATAAACCTCCAAGTGGCCTCAATGACTCTCTAAAAGAATGCAAATGACCAGCTGTCTGCAAGGAGTATAAATCCTTCCATTCCCCACCATCCAGCCAGCGCTGAAGAAGCTTCTTGGAGGAGAAGTGAAATGTCTTCAAAGAAAAACAAGAAAGTCCAGTTGCCTCTTGAAAAAGGACCTTTAGGTCCCCAATAGATCTCCCTGTATAAACACAGAAATAGAAGGTACAGAACAGATAATTTCAGGCAATTCTTTCAAACAATTAAAAAAAGGCTAAAGTGGATTTTTAATTCCTTGTGGCTGCACAGGTACAACTGTGTAATTTTCTTAGCAACATTGTAGAGGTGCTCTGTTGTGGTCTTTTGAGATTTTTTTTTCAATATCCAATAGAAATTCCCTGGCCATTTTTCATCCAGGAATGATGCTTTGATAATAGCAATAGCACTTAGACTTATAAATCGCTTTACAGTGTTTTACAGCCCCTCTCTAAGTGGTTTACAGAGTCAGCCTATGGTCCCCAACAATCTGGGCCCCCATTTTACCAACCTCGGAAGGATGGGAGGCTGAGGAATCAACCTGGAGCCATTCAGAATTGAACTCCTGGAATGAGCAGTGAGTTAGCTTGCAGTAAGGCATTCTGGGTGTTGAAGTTCACATATCTGAAAGTTGGCCAAAGTTGAGAAACACCAGCCCATGCCATGTATTTGAAGGAAAGGCAAAACCCTTAACAGAGCAATAGGTGGTTTTTTTTTTCCTGTAGAAAACTACAGTTTGGATAAGGATTTGCTCACTGTTATTTGCTCAAGTTCTAAACAGTTCCTCCAATTCTCCCTCCCTCGGGCATCCGATGGTTATGGCATGATCAAAGTGACAGCTTGTTGCCACTGTAAGAAATTTGGTCCCTTATTTGCCAACCTCGTCCCCAATTTGTAACAATTTGCTGCCCAATTAGGGACTGGTCAATAGCTTGTGTTTAGCATAACTGTTGTCAATATTGAATATCTCCAACTTGGCACCATATAAGTTTAGTTATCTGTGTTTACCATCTCTTCTTCGAGTGCTAGCCGTCTTCCCACTGTGTACATCAAGGGAGGAGCCACACTTTTTATTTTTGGGATATTGTTTAGCACATCCTTTTATGTGGACTTCCTGTGTGTAAATCATGCAAACATCGGCAGCCGCATTTAAAGATACTAATGGTGCCTTCTATTTTTTTCATTAAAAACCCCAATCTCACGAGTGAGGAAGGGTGAAAAACCTGAAGAAGGTCATTATTAGACCTTCCTCCCTTGTTGAAGAGAATCATCAACTGGCAGACGATCTCCTGTAGGCTTGTGAGGGGATTGCCATCATCTGCTGCTACTTTCCCCATCTCATATACACCAAAAGTAGCCTAATTTCCTAGGTCTATCTCCATCATTCTGTGTGGGCCTTCCACCCCTGGTGATCTTAGAAAAAGATGGATGGGGACTTCCGGTTTGAGTTTCTTCAGCGACAGAGCGAAACCTTGTCTCTGCGAGGCTTTGATCTGTGCTCACCACTGGAGCGCCCCAAGCCGGCTGGTTTCAGGGCTAAGCCACCCCATAGAGGTGGTAAAGAAGGGGGAGACTGCCAGCAGGGTTGAGGAGAGCCACATCTCTCCTCCCCAGCTGGCCATTACTTGCTTTCCCAAAGGCGGTTGCAGTGGTGGTCAGAAATGGCCACCTCGAAGAAGAACTTGACTGGAAAAGAATGTGCAGGAGGAAGATTAGAAGAGAAAGTTTTGGTTGACCGGGTTAAACTGCAAAAGCAAGAACAAAGGTACCCTGGAATCGAAACTGTTAAAAAACAATAACATTGTTCCCTAAGAAGATTTTTAAGCTGCGAAGGAGAGAGAAAAGGGAAAAGATTTGGTTTTCTCCTTTTCCTATACTGACAGCTAAGAGACTTAAGCAAGAAATTGGAAAAAAAAACCCACTTTGACATTAATAGGCATTTAATGCTGAAAATAAAAAGTCAAAGGGATAATAAAGATTTCTGGATAATTAAAAGCTTTTGAAAACAGGAAAGAAGAGAGGAAGAATAAAAGGGCAGGATCTGGAAGGGAGGAGACTCCCTGGAATTAAAAAAGAACTTACAGCAAAATCTCAACAAGACTTCCAAAAGATACATTCTAACTGAAATATCGCAACAAAAACCCCAGGAAGAGAAAGTCGAAAAAGAAATAAGAAGATATAACTCGGGACTATCTGGATTACTTGATGATTTCTGGATTCTTGGCTATTGCTTTGAATGACTAAAATCAATCGGGTGGTTGTTTAAAACTTTTTAAAATGGCTCCACTTTTAGAAGAACTGAAAATGGAACTTAAAAAGTACAGAGAAGATGCACAAGAAGGGAGAGGTTCTTTTGGCTTTGTATTTCAGTTTTTAGAAATGGAGATTTGGAATTATGAGAAACAACAAGAAATGCCTGCAGAACAAGAAGATTGCGACAAAGAAGAAGCGTTCTTTAATGAATAAGTAATCTTAGATGGGGGAAAAAAAAGAAAGGGGGAAAAGAGAATGGAAAGTTTAAGATGGGGAAAAACAACTCCCCCCCCCAAATAGAGTGAAAAATAAATATAAAATCAGAAAGCAACAGAAAAGGGAAATGCAGAAGAGAGAATTAGAAGTAGAGAGACAAGGGGGTAAAAAGGGGAGGGAGAAGATGAGAGGGAAGAAAGAAAGGAAAAGAAGTTATAAAGGACAGAAGCAAAACATAGAGAAACAGGGTCTATTTAGAGATAGTGAGTGAAAACTTAATGGAAAAGGGGATTCTGCAAAAGTACATAAGATAGTATGGTTATATTAGAAGCAGAAATAATTTTAGAAAATATGAAACAATGTAAGATTAAAATGTCTGATAAAATAGCTATCGTAATTCAGTGGAATGCTCGTCAATAAATAAATGTAACAAAAGGTATATTTAATGATTTATAAAACATATGTGAAGAGAAATAAGGGAAAAATTAATTATGGAGATAATATGTGTTTTTAAGGAAGTATGATATTTAATTGAAAAGAAGTGTTAAAGATGTTAAGATTTTAATGATTATTAATGATAAAACTGAATTGGAATGGAATGAGGGTTCATAATTACATATATTTATAATCTTTTTTTAAAAAGAATATACTGTGTATTATAAGAATGTGCCAAGCAGAATTCAATTGGAAGTTATGTATTATGTATTATATTGAAGGTCATAAACTTAAGGTATATATTGAAGTTTAAATAAGAGTTGAATGGATGTAATTAAAAGATATAAAGGTGTCATACTCCAATTAGTAACTACAGGAGAAAATTTGTTTAATGAGAAAAGATAATATGAAATTGAAACAGAACAGACAAAAGTATAACTATAATGATTTGAATTGAGATAATCAAAATAAAATTGAGAAAATTAAAAGAGGGGAAAAACTATATAGAAAATGTAAAATAGTATAAGATATGGAATAGAATACAAAAAGGAGCATGAAATTGAGTTTTGTGTCTGTATAAAGAAGTTCAACCCGGAACCATGCTATTTTCAAAAAAGATGTTTTACCTGTATTTTGTGTGTGAAAACCCAAATAAAACTTTATTAAAAAAAAAAGAAAAGAAAAAGATGGGTGAGGCCCAGAGGTGTTATTCAGCCAGTTCTGACCAGTTTTGGAGAACCGATAGTGGAACTTTTGAGTAATTCGGAGAATCAGCAAATGCCACCTCTGACTGGCCCTGCCCCATCTATTTTTTTGCCTCCCAGCTGATTGGCTGGGTCTTCTTTGGTTGCCCTGCACAGGAGAATGGAGCTGGAAAGCAGGTTAGTGGGGTGGGGAGAGAATGGGATTTTGCAGTAATCTTCCCCTGCCACGCCCACCAAGCCATGCCCACCAAGTCACGCCCACAACACCGGTAGTAAAAAAATTTGAATCCCACCACTGGTGAGGCCTATTCCATAGACAAAAGAAATTGGGAAAACACCAGGCCCAGATGGAGTGATTCATTCTTACTTCAAAGCCTGTGCTGAACAACTGAGCCTCCATCTTCACAGGGATCTTTAATAAATCACTGGAGATGATTTATTGCTTCAACCACTCTATGATCATCCTGGTTCTAAGAAACCCTCCATGAGGGAACTGAATGATTACAGGCTGGCTGCTCTGACATCCATAGTCATGAAGGCCTTGCGAGGTTAGCTGTCATGCCTCTGTTGGAGTCTGAATCGGAGGAGGAAGGCAAACAGCTGACGGGAGTGGGAGTGTGGCTCCATTGGCTGTGGAGGAAACTGGGGAAGGGCAAAGTCCGTCTGGGCAGAGCAGGGGAGAGGGAGAACAAGGGAGAGGGAGTTCAGAGGAAGACCCAGGCCCACCCCCTCTTCATCCTAGGGCATGCAGGAAGGAATGGAGAAGAGAGCAACATGGGTTGCGTGGCTTATGGGGGGGAAAGGGCCCTGATTCCCTTCATTCGCCACAGCTGGGAATGAGAGTTTAAAAGAGATGCATGCTGAATGTGCCAGCTGTTGGGAGCAAACGTGAGTTTATCTTGTGTTGACTTTGCTTATCTGTGTTCTTGGCATCTTCCCAACTGTGAGAGTTTTGCTGTGCCTTCACATCTGGAATTCTTGCTCCTGTCCTACCAAACTAATTACCTCAGTTTGGCTTGATTGGATTTTAAGTTACAGTTTGTGTTGACTATGTTTTGGACTTAATTTTCTCCAGCCAAAGGCTGTTTCTGGGAGAGTTTTTCTCCAGCAGATGCAGCTGTCAATATGGCACTACACTATATCTTGCAACATGTTGAATCCCCGGGGACCTATGCAAGGGTCTTTTTTTTATAAGCTTCAGCTTGACCTTCAGTGCCATCATTCCAGGAATTCTTCACTCTGTACTGATTCAGATAATGGTACCTGTCCCCTAAGTGTAGCTGGATGATTAGCGTTTTGACAGATAGGAAGCAACAGGTGAATCTACCTGTCCCAAAGATGCTTTTTTCAAGAAGCAACTGGACTTTCTTGTTTTTCGTTGCAGACATTTTGCTTCTCATCCAAGAAGCTTCCTCAGTTTCTTGGATGAGAAGCGAAACATCTTTCTGTTGTGGCTCACTGGCAGCAGGTGCGGATGGCTGAGGTCTCTGAGAGCAAGGACTTGGATGAGGGGCCTGCATGTGATGCAGGGATGGAGCCAGGACTATCGGAGAATGGGGTGCTGCTTTTGGAGCTTGTGGAGGCTGGCAGCAGTGAAGAAGAGGTCCCTGAGGAGCCTGTGCCCAGTGCACGTGCACGCAGGGCTGCTTGAACAAAAGAGCAGCTGCTGCAGCATGGGTGACTTGGGAGTAAGGCTGGAAGGTAATGCCCCCTCCAATAAAGGATAAAAAAACAGCCCTTGGGGATGTGTTCTTTGCAGGAAGCAAAGAAGTTCTTTAGCCTCAGAGTCCTCGTTGAAGCCCTGCTTACTCCATTTTATTTTTGAAACTTCTGTCGGTGGATATTTAATCAGTAATTAGTCTTGTGTTCTTGGCAGCCTTCTGCAACCTTGAAAGGTCTTGCTTTTGATATCAGACAATTACGTTTAAATATTTCTTGGCTGGGAATGCACTGAATTCCCAGCGCTGCATTGAAAAAGGGTTGCTTTTATACACAGTTTGTGTTTGTTTGATTTGAACAAGGCTTGGATCAGAATACTTCCAAAGAAAAACCAGAAAGTCCAGTTGCCTCTTGAAAAAGCACCTTTGGAAAAGCCATGAACTGGAGGACTGAGAATCTCCATAGGTGAATCTAGGGAAAATTACATCTAGTACCTGAGCAATAAACACAGTTGTCTCCATTGCTCTTCTCTCTATATATACCAAAAACTGCATCTCTAAGGGTCCCCCTGTTAAATTACTGAAGAAATGAAACATCCAGGGGTGGGATTCTACCAGTTCAGCCCAGTTTGGGCAAACTGGAAGCTCCAAAGCTTCGCTCCGACGATCAGCTGTTGAGCCTGCCCACCTGTCCTGGCTCCAGTCTGTGCTTAATTTCTGGGTTTTCCAGCTCATCTGATTCACGTGGCACAGCGGATTGCAAAGCACACTGTCAACTAAAAAGATACTCCTTTGGTCTTTTTAGCTGCCAGAAAAAGGGAGTGGGGGAAAACAGCGCATTCCTTAAGTGCCTAGAGAATCACCCTCGTAGCCCAAAGTTGTCGGAGTGCAAGAATGTTACTGGAGAGCATGATTGATGACTCTCGGGGAAGGATGAGTCCCATTGGAGAATACACATCCAGGGGGTGGGGTGGGGGGAAGACCAGGGTCAAGGAGGAAATGAATGATGTATTTTAGTATTGGCTGCATCCAGTTAACACCAACAACGCCACTTCTAATAAATCAATTTTCTTTTCTCTGAGATGCGGCTAGAGACTTATGATTTGAATGGGGATGGATTTGTTGGGGTCCTGACAGGCGCACTCACTGAACCAGTTGTTACACCGGTTGAATCCCACCCCTGGAAACACTCCTGTATTTAAGGCAACTGCCTTCTGATGGCTTTAACAATGTTGATACAGTCTATGAATGGAGAATGCCATATAGCTCAGATATTCTTAAGTAGCTAATGGATTTCACTTCTTACTCCCCAGTGGTGAGAGGGCTCTGGATTGGCTTTTGCCAAATAACCAAACCGGCCTCGAAAACCGAGTCGCACTGACTGAGTGTGCCAGCGATACTTATTGTAAGATGCTCACCCTGACGGATGTAATAAGCAACGACACCGGGTCCTACAAGTGTTTTTACCAAGACAACCACACCTCCTCAAGTGTTTATGTTTATGTACAAGGTAGGTGCATATTGGAATAGTGCACTTTTTCTGCTTAATGGGAAAAATGGCTTAATGTTGTATAATGTGAACCACGTTGGATTAGAACCAAAAATTTCTCTGGTCCGTCCTCTTGAGGCCACCATGCCAGTTCTGAAAATACCTAACTTTTATAACAAATCCCCACTGATGGGTTATCCTGAACCAATTGATCCAGTTTGGTTTTAGGAACTACACAAATTGGTGGGTCTTACAACCACATTTACAAGCATTGTGCACAGGGGTGGGATTCTCCCGGTTTGGACCAATTTGGGTGAACCCCTTGTTCCAATGATCAGCTGGCTCCTAACCAGTTGGCTATGGGCCCGCCCAGTTGGCTATGGGCCCGCCCACCCGGCTATGGGCCCGCCCACCCCTGCTTTTTCCTGTCCTTTACTTCCTGCTTTTAGAGCACAGCTGATTAGCGTGCCGCCCCTCAGCTGTTTTATTCACAAGGGCTGCAGCTGAAGAGCTGAAAATGGGTTTTAAAAAATATGAATTGCACGTGCAAAGCACGCATTCACCAAACCGGTTGTTATACCCATTGAATTACACCCCTGATTGTGCACATTTACTTCTGGACATCATGAAGGAGAATGTGATGACCCGGGGTGGGATACAAAATAAACATAGTCACAAAAAACAGATGAAGCCCCTTTTATTCCTTCACTTTGCTTCCAAGCTCCAAATATCCTTGACTGGAGACAAAAAACTCCCACACAAGCAGTTACCAGAAAAAGGAAATGCCGTTTAAATTATAAAGAGTAAAAAATAACGCAAACCAGGCAAGATAAGGGCTTGAAGACATCCACAGATATCAGAAGACATCCACAGATATCAGAACACACACTGGGAAGGACATCAAACTCAGAGAGGAGCCATCAACTAGAGATATTTCCACACTTTGTTTCCAGCACTCACCCGTACGCATGTCCATCCTCTTATCCAGTTGTCACAGCTGCAGCCCATGAAAAGGATCAAGGCCCTCTCCTCCCCCATAGACCACGTCTCTCCCTTATCCTCTCCTCCCTTTGTGCCCTAGGATGGATAGGAGATGGGCCTGGGTCCTCCTCTGACTGCCCAGCCGGCCTCTGCCCTTCCCCAGCCTCCTCCGCAACCTCCGGAGCCATACTTCCACTCCCTGTCAGCTGTTCCTCCTCTCCCTCCAGAGTCAGTCTCCACCAGGGGCATGACAGAGAATGTTCTTCTATTTCCTTATTTGTTTTAAAACAAGCTGGCAGGAATAGCCAATACCCCAGAAGATTGGCTCAAGATCCAGATGGATCTCGACAGACTTGAACATTGGGCCCTAGCTAACAAAATGAAATTCAGTGGTAAGAAAAGTAAGTAAGGTTTTACACTTAGGCAAGAAAAAAAAAACCACCTGTACAGGTGCACATTAGATGAAACGTGGCTCAATAGCAGTAACTGTGAGAGGATTCTTGGAGTCCTAATGGACAATCACTCCAATACCATGAGCCAGTAGTGTATGGCAGCAGCGAAAAGAAGCCAATGCAAACCTAAGCTGCATTAATAGAGGGGTAGAATCAAGCTCACATGAAGTATTAGTGCCACTTTATAAGGCCTTGGTAAGACCACATTTGGAATACTGCATCCAGTTTGGGTCAACATGATAGAAAAAAGATGTTGAGACTCTGGAAAGAGTGCAGAGAAGAGCAACAAAGATGATGAGGAGCCTGGAGGCTAAAACATATGAAGAACAGTTGCAGGAACTGGGCATGGCTAGTCTAGTCAAAAGAAGGAGCAGGGATGACATAATAGCAGTGTTCTAATATTTGAGGGGCTGCTACAAAGGGGGAGATCAATCTAACAGATAATAGATAAGCAGAATTGAAAGGGACCTTGTAGGTCATCTAGTCCCCCACCCAAGTGGGAGACCCTACATCATTTCTGACAAATGGCAGTCCAATCTCTCCTTGAAAGCCTCAAATGATGGCACTCACACAACTTCCGAGGGCAACTTCTGTTCCATTGGTTGGTTGTTCTCACTGCCAGAAAGTTTCTCTTTATTTCCAGGTTGAATCTCTCCTTGATCAGTTTCCATCCATTGTTCCTTGTCTGGCCTGCAGGCCCTTTAGAAAATAGCTTGACCCCTTCTTCCTCTCTGTGGCAGCCCCTCAAATATTGGAAGACTGCTCTCCTGTCTCCCCTGGTCCTTCTCTTTACTAGACCCGCCATGCCCATTTCCTGTAACCATTCTCCAATCCCTTAATCATCCTGGTTTCTCTTCTCTGCCCTCTTTCTAGAGTCTCAACATCTTTTTAATAGTGTGGGGACCAAAACTGGATGCAGTACTCTAGGTGTGGTCTTAATAAGGGTTTATAGAGTGGTATTAGTACCTCACTTGATCTTGATTGTATCCCTCTGTTAGTGCAATTTAGGATTGCATTAGCTTTTTTGACTGCTGCTGCACACATCTACTTTCCAAAGCACCTGAGGGCAGGACAAGAAACGATGGATGGAAACTAACCAAGGAAAGAAACAACCTAGAACTAAGGAGGTATTTCCTAATAGTGAGAACAATTAACCAGTGGAATGGCTTGCCTTGGGAAGTTGTGGAAGGCTTTTAAGGAGATTGGACAGCCACTTGTCTTGAATGGTGTAGGGTCTTCTGCTTGAGCAGGGGGTTGGACTAGATGACCTACAAGATCATGTCCAACTCTGATGATGTTCTATTTGTCTCGAATCTTCTTTCAGATTTATTGGATTCCACTAATATGAGAGAAAGCAAAATATAATCTGATGTATTTTTTCAGTGTTTTTCTGTATCCCTTTCCAAACTTCTTTATTCCTTTCCAAAGCCCCAAATCTTTCAATTATTCCCAAAGTAGGAAGCCTTTTTTCCCCCTGCACATTCTTATGTTTTGGAATATACCTTTTTTTTGTTGAAAGGAAGCAATCAGAATTGGCACACTGTGTTCTAAATGAAGTGGAATTATGGATTATTCTTGGCCGTTCTACTTTCACTCTCCCTCCTCCCCCCCAATTATCCTGAATTCACAAGAAAGTGAATTAAAAGACCCATGGATTTTTTATTTATTTTTTGTTTACATCTGTTACCTTTTAAGGAAAAAGAAACTTTTATTTTTCCAATACTCAGCACTACAGGAATCCAGAATAGTCATAGTTCTGCCAAAAACTATGATGGTGCAAAAACGTGTCTTAATGTCTGGCGTTAGATCTGTAGTCAATTGCCCAGCCATTTGGAATTCTTGCTGGCTTGGTGTTGTATTGCTAAAACAAGTGATGAATGTTTCAATGGAATTAGAGAAGTGCTGGGTAGTATAATAGAAATAGTAAGAGCACTTAGACTTCTAGACTGCTTCTCAGTGCTTCACAGCACTCCCTGAGCGGTTTTCAACATCAGCATTTTGCCCTTGACAATCTGGGTCCTCCTTTTACTGACCTCATAAAGATGGAAGGCTGAGTCAACTTGGAGTCCCATCAGGATCTAACTCAAGATTGTGGGCAGAGTCAGCCTGCAATATTTCACTCTAACCACTAGTTGTCTAGCTGTCAGGATTCCGGCAGTTATCCCAATGAGTCTCAAAGCCAAACTTCCAAAACTTCAAAAAGATGTATTGGGAGTTAATATGTACGGCACTGCCCGGGTGTAGCCAACTCTGAGACCCATCATTCATTGTCACCCTTGACTCTGGGTTTTCCCCCCACCCCCTGGATGAATCGTAATTCATATTCTCCAATGGGACACCTCCATAGCCAAGAGTCATCAATCACGCTCTCCAGTTAGAATTTTGCATGGCAGAAACTTCGGTCACCGAGTTACTATCTTTGAAAACATTTATGGAATGCACTTTCGGTTTCCAAGCTGCAGCACTGCTCTTTCAAATCCCTTTCCCCGCCTTCCCTTTCTGTTGGCAACTCTAAAAAGACCATAGAAATATTGTATGACAGTGGTGGCTAATCTTTTTGGGCTCCTGTGCTAAAAATTAGTGTGCATGCACTCGCATGCCAGCACCCAGAATGCAATGCGCCCCCCCCACACCCTTACCTGCACTGTCCCTCACAGCTGATTTTTCAGCTGGTCTGAGGCCTTTTTCGCCCTTGCAGAGGCTTGGAAAAAGCCTCTGCAATGCTTTTCAGGACAAATAATATGCCCATTTCATCACTTCTGGTATTACAGGAAGTGACGAAACGGACCTATTCGTCCTGAAAAGCCTTGCAGAGTCTTTTTCCAAGCCTCCGGGAGGCCAAAAAAGGCCTCAAATCAGCAAAAAAAAAAGTCAGCTGTGAGGCACACGCACAATGAGGTAAGTTTGCCTGTGGCTTGAGTGCTGGCACAAATGGCTCTGCGTGCCACTTGTGGCCTGCGTGTCATAGGTTCGCCATCATGGTTGTATGAGTTGACACACTGTGCCACCAGGGCTATAAAACAGTGCACCCTAAAACTACAGTCAGCATTTTTCTGTCACATTTTCTTTCTTGTTTGGCTAATCTGTGGGTTTGGGCGAGCTGCCCCAATTCACAATCCAGCCCAATCTACTATAAATTCAGTTGGGATGGACTCCCAACTCCTAGGATAGACTGCTGTGAATGAATTGCTTTAAATAAGAGATTCGTGCAAGTTCAATGATATCTAGAATGTTCTCTCTTCTTTAGATTACAGATCTCCATTTGTGATGTCAGCCAGTGAGCCTGGAGCTATATATATAACCGGAAACAAAACTGTAGTGGTTCCATGTCTCGGATCCTCATCAAACCTGAACGTGTCACTTCATTCGGTAAGGCCAATGATCGTAATCCACTTTGCCAGTGATTCTGGCTCTTTTTTATGTTTACGTTGACATCACACATTTCACATTTGAGGCAGAGGGCTGTCAAGGTTCCAACTAACAAACTCCAAACCAATAACCTCCGAGACAGGCATTTTCTCTAAGTCCCATTTTATTTGAGTTGTCGTATTGGCACATCTGGGAAAACCCAAATCTGAGAGTTCCAGCTTTAGAAATTCAAAGATCCAATCCCTGCACCTATCAGTCCATCCCATGGTCCAATCCAATGTCATCCCAACTGGAGACACTCCTCTAAAACAGGGGTCGCCAACCTTTTGGACCTCAGGGACCACCAAACTCAAAATTTTAAATCCCGCAGACCAGAGACCCTGGGAAAATCCCCCAAAAAATCTGCAGGAAAATTCTCCACCCTGTTTTGCTACCAGTCGATCATTCTTTATTTGGGATCGCAGGATCCCATCTCCAGCTCCATTCTCAGGAGGAGAGAGAGGTGGGGAGAGAGAGAGCGGGAGACAGAGAGAGACAGAGAGAGACAGACTGACTTTTGGCTTCATGCAGTGAAAGCAGCAGAAGCAGCAGAAGTCTTTCTTTCTCTCCCCCAAACTCCGCCAGAAATGAGTCTTTGCTGGGGCAGCCTCTTGGAGCAGGATCCCAAAGACTCATTTCTGGCGGAGTTTGGGGGAGAGAAAGAAAGACTTTTGCTGCTTTCCTTGCATGCAGCCAAAAGCAGAAGAAGAAAGAAGCAGAAAGAAGCAGCCCGGTAGCCAGGCCAGGCACGTGGGGGGGGAGTTCCCCCCTCTGCCCTTTCCTCCCTCCCCTCACTATCTTGTGTTGTTTGCAATGCAAGCGATGCAATCCTTGTGTTCCTGTGGGCCATGTGGGTGGCGCAGCTTTGTGTTCCTGCGCAGCCTGGATTAATTGCTTTGGGGGGGGTGCTTTAGGGGTAACATTTCTCTGCAGACCACCAAAATTTTCTCACAGACCACCAGTGGTCCCTGGCCCACGGGTTGGTGACCACTGCTCTAGAAACTCCTCTCCAGGTACAGGTTAATTTGACCTTGACTTCTAAGAAAGAATGTTGTTGAGTCTAATCTTCCAAGTCTCTGTGAAATCCCCCTCTCCCAAATTCCCAGGCACTCAGTGCGGCAGCCTCGAAGCTCCTAAGTGAAATATGGTTCCCGAGGCTGAGAACTGCTCTGTGTAAAAAAATGTAAATAGAAAGGAGGAATTAGGTTGTGAAAGATACTTCCATAATTGACTAGATTCATGGCACATAAACTGTAGCCCAATCTTAGATCTCTGCTCCCTCAAAAGTTTTGATGTGACTTTCAAAACCCTCTCCCCAAAATGATGAAGTGTTTGTAAATTTAAATTTGGCGGAACAGAAACGTAATTAAATGGATGGAGAATAATCATTGCAATGTATTTGCATTTAATTGCCTTTCATTTTAAATTACATTTCAAGTTGAAATTCAATTTAGGCTTTACTGATGCCTTACTCCCCTACATGCCATTCAAAGGGGGGGCCTTTCAGTTCTTCACCTACCGTAGCTCCTAGACTATTTTAGAGAACACCAGAATTAAAGTTATTGTTGTTTTGTGGTTCATATAGAAATATCCAGAGCAAACGTTTGTTCCTGATGGAAAGTCAGTTACATGGGATAATCAGAAAGGTTTCACCATTCCCACTAACATGATCAGTGATGTAGGAATGGTCTTCTGCAAAACTAAGATAGATGGAGAGAGCTATCAATCGATGATGTACGTCGTGGTGGTCTTAGGTAAGCAATGGACTTTGTTTATTTATTTGGGAATAGAATAGAATAAGAATAGAGTAGAATAGAATAGAATATACAGTAGAATAAGAATAGAATAAGAATAGAATAGAATAGAAGAAGAATAGAATAGAATAGAATAGAATAGAATAGAATAGAATAGAATAGAATAGAATAGAATAGAATAGAATAGAA